CTCATCACCTTCGATGTTAATGTCATGATAAAACCATTCCTATGCTCTTGTTGTGCCTTATCCCATTTGTTCAACTCTGTACTGAACTGTTAGTGTAAAATGTGAGATGTCTTAATAAACATGTGTATTATGTATCATTCTATTTCAGTCAATCAGTGGTTAGGCCTGCTTATGTAAACCGAAGATAAAATTTTAGCAGAAAGTTTCAAAACGTTTGTAGTACTTTGGGATTTTTAGCCTGGAGTCCTTTATTAATTCAGCTTAACGTTCAAGATATATTTTAAGCTAGTTCTGTGTGAGATTCTGAACATGCAGTGATGGGTTAGAAACAGTCATTGCCTTGGAGAAATTCATGATGCTTTGTGAAATAGACACTTACTAGGAGCTGACACAGAATGTAAAGCCACCATCTGTGATGCTGGCGTCCCGTGTGAGTGCCAGTTCGAGTCCCAGCTGCTCCATTTCCAGTCCAGCCCCCTTCTGGTACTAGTGGGAGGGCAGCAAAGGATGGCCCAAGTACTCTGGCACCTGCACCCATGAGGGAGATCTGGAGGAAGCGCCAGGCTGCTGACATCAGATCTGTCTAGCCCTAGTTGATGCAGCCATTTGGACAGCAGACCAGTTGATGATGGATGGAGGATTTGTTTTTTTCTCCTGTCTCTCTCATTCCTTTCAAACAAAAATAAATACATCTTTAAAAAAAATTAGACACTTGCTATTGTTCTGTGGGAATACAGAGGAGGTGTCAGCAACCTTCTGAGGCCATCAGACACCCTGAGGTCCACTGAGCTGATACCCTGGGGATAACCAGACAGTGCCTGTAAAGAAAGAAGGTCAGTTAAAGTTGGGAGAGAGAGGAGCAGGCTCGCCTGATTTTTTAACTACATGTATGTGTTTCTGCCTCTCTTCTCTCCTCTCCTCTCCTCTCCTTTTTTTCCCTTTTCTATCTCTTTCTGTCTCTTTTTTTGACCAGAACAGCTTCTTTGCTAACTAAAGTTTGCCAGACTTCTGCATTCCTGGTTGCATTACATGGTTGCTGTTTTACTGCTTCCTGTTTGCAGGCAGATGCTGGGCTTTGGGAATCGTGGGTTGGTTTGTTTCCTTGTGTTAGCTTAAGATTATTATTTTTGACTTAAAGGTCATTTCATTGTTGCCAAAGCTGCAGACTGGATCTTTTACTACACCCTTTATAACACTCTGTGGCTTTGTATTATATGCCAGGGAGAGTTCTGCACTTTTAAGGCATAAAACGATTTTGTTATAAAAAGGTACATACTAGTTTTGGAAGTGTGGTTAAGTTACTTAAAGCTATAAGAAGAACCAATAGCATATTTATTAATGAAAAATATAAAAGCTGCCACCTCCCCACAAGGGGGAGAAAAAGGCCTACTTAGAATACCCAGATGCTTTGGTTAACTGATTGTTTTAGGCAAAGTTTAAATAGAGCAAGACTGTAATGTCCCTATGATTGCAAATGAAATTTCAGTGTTGGGATTAGGAAATATCCCCATTCTATCTGTTACCTGTCTTATGGTTAAACTAGATTTGTTGTACTAAATAAAATAAAGATGATGGATCAATCTTTTTGTTTAATAGTAGGAACAGAATCTCTTTACAATAGATTTTCCCCTTCAATGTGATAATTTAAGATATTGAACATTTATTAGACACTCTGTTATCTTAGAGCTTCTGCGCTAGATATTAGGGATTCAGGGTTATTTAAGACATGATCCGTATCTTTAAGTAACTGATGTGAGAGAAAGAAAGGAACCATAAACAGAGGAGGTGATAGTTTGAGTTGGTTCAATGGAAGACAAGTGTGGCAGAGGCTTAAACTTAGGGCAAATGGTTTATGTATACATATGCATGAGCGTGCAGTATGCACACATATTAACTCATCAAACAGCTTATGACTGTTATTGAATGTTAGCTATGTGACAAATTAGACTAAGGTGCTTTTAAAAATGTTTATTTTTATTTGAAAGAGAGTTACATAGGGGAGAGAGACACAGAGAGAGAGGAAAGTGTGTGTGTGTGTGTGTGTGAGAGAGAGAGAGAATTATTTACATGTTTGTCCATTCATCAAATGGCTAGAGCAGCACGGATCCAAAGCCAGGAGCCAGGAGCTTCTTCCAGGTCTCCCACATGGGTGTAGGGTCCATATTCTACTGCTTTCTCAGACCACAAGCAGGGAGTTGCATGGGAAGAGGAGCAGCTGATGCTTGAACTGGCACTCATTGGGTGCTGGTGCTGAAGGTGGATGCTTAGCCTGCCACATCACAGCACCAGCCCCCAAACTAAGGTGCTTTAAATAAATGTGCTCACTTGTCATCTTAGTCTGGTAACATCAGTAATATTCTCTTCAGTAGTGTTAATCATACAATAATCTCCCTTATGTTCCAGGTCCCTGGATAGGGGTGCTGGAAACCTTAGAACCTTCAAACCCTGCGTGTTCTGGTTTTTACTGATAAGGTTTTATTTGTAAATTTAGCACAGAGATGGGCTAGCAGCAACAACGACAATGAAACAATATAGCATAAAGCAGCTACCGGTGTGATGACTCTTGTGTTTGGACTATTATCAAATCGAGGAAGGGTTACTTGAACACAGGAACTGTGTTACCACGGTAACCAGTCTGACTGATGGCTGAGAAGGCTGCTGGGTAGAGTGTCCAGGCCCTGGGCCGGAGGGGCAGGACCACGCAGGGTCACATCCTGCTGCTCAGAACAGTGTGCAGTTGGAAACTGAGGGTCGGGATCCTCCCATGTTTCACTGCAGTTGGCTGTGGATAAAAACTGCAGGAAGTGAAACTGTGCATAATGGAGGACTACTACTTTTAGGGAAACTATATAATTTGTGATATTTTGCAGCCAGTAAGTTACAAAAATGGGGTCTGAAGCTAGGTCTTCATCTCAAATCCTTTGCCTTTTCTTCCAGTATATTCCATACTTCCTAACGGGCAATGAAACTACAAGGCTGAAGGGAGGAAAGGCCATCATTTTAAAAGGCTGTTTGAAAGAAACCAAACGTGTGTATACCTCATGTCACTGAGGCGCCTTACGCTGTCGCCATAAACATTTGGAATGACTGTGGGTTCTGTTGCCAGGGTGGTGCTGGGTCTCAGTCCTGCTCATGCAGGTGTCTGTTTTCTCCGTTTAACTGCCTGGCTTGCTGCACAGAGCCCCATAGATGGAACCACTGTTGTTGCATAGAAGTCACCCAGTGTCCACTGGGCACTCCTGGCTAATGGTGGGATTGAAAGCTGGGCAGAGGGGACTGTGGCCTCTGTGCCACCCAGAAGCTACAGAGGGCTGGAGACAGATGAGCTCGTGATGCCTTCCTCTATGGTGGTGGCACGTCTCAGATCATGTCATGATGTGGAAGCTAGTTGCTGTTTGCTTGTGACATGCTACATTATTTTGTAAGGATTAGGTTATAAAAGTTAATGAAGTATTAAATAAATACTGAATTGACCAGCAGTCTGCTTATTATTATAATGAAGTCACTGTTATACTTCGTGAAATTGAAGTCTTGAGAAGATATTTGAAGCTGAGAGAGAACAAAGCTGTAGTGTACTCTTCCCCATCATGTGTTGAATAGGATGCCAGAATGTGGGTGGGTATGGGGGGAGTTTCCATGACTAAAATATTCGGATACCCTGAGTTTAAGCCTAAGTAGTTTCCTTCAGGAAAGGTCTCTTCATAGCTTATACTAATTTTCAATGCTTGTGTAGTGTCCTGGTGTGTCTTTTGGCACTGGGCTTCCATTGAGATTCCAGCGAGGACCTGTGCTGTGCTTCCTGGCCTTTTCTTCAGGCGTGCCACAGATAAGGTGTGGCTTCTTACCTAACTCCTACCTAACAGCCATTTGGATATAGGATAGGTTCTCAAGTTACCATGTCCAGTGTCGGTGTGCCTACACCATGTGCAGTAAGTGCCCTGGTGTCTACCTGGTTGGCACCAAACCAGGAGGCATCCTGGAGTCCTCTTTGGTGCTCTCCGCAAGTGAAGTTCATGAGTGAATCTTACTGATTTTCCTGAAGTGTATCTCAAATCTGTCTTCTTTTTTTTTTTAAAGATTTATTTTTATTATTTTTTTTTTTATTGGAAAGGCAGATATACAGAGAGGAGAGACAGAGAGGAAGATCTTCTGTCCGATGATTCACTCCCCAAGTGAGCGCAACGGCCGATGCTATGTGGATCCGAAGCCAGGAGCCTCTTCTGGGTCTCTCACATAGGTGCAGGGTCCCAAAGCTTTGGGCCGTCCTCGACTGCTTTCCCGGGCCACAGGCAGGGAACTGGAAGGGAAGTGGGGCTGCCGGGATAAGAACTGGCGCCCATATGGGATCCCGGGGGTGCAAGGTGAGGACCTTAACCACTTGCGCCACCGAGCTGGGCCTAAATCTGTCTTCTTTTTATCTGTGCTGGTCTGAGCCACTGTTTGCTTTCTGTGTAGTAATCTGTTCAATTTCCCTGTTTCTGTCTACGTATCTATAAATTGAAACAGAATTTGCAAACTTATTGTGCACAGCATGGTATTTTTGGAATATGTGTACATTGAAGAATGAGCCAAACTAATTAATGTGTATTATCACAGGCTTATTTATTTATGGTGAGGACAATTAAAATCCGTTACCTTAACAAGTTACCAGTTTTTGTTGCATTCTTACCAAGCTTTGTCACAGGGCTTGCGTCATGGTGCAGTGGGTTAAGTTTTGCTCCCTGCCACACAGGCATTGCCTATGAACATCAATTCACTTCCCAGCTGCTGCACTTTTTTTTTTTTAATAGATCTTACTTATTTTTATTTGAAAACCAGATTTACAGAGGAGAGACAGAGACAGATCTTCCATCTGTTGTTTCATTCCCCAGAAGGCTACAACAGCTTGAGCTAAGCTGATTGGAAGCCATGAGCCCGGAGCTTCTTCCTGGTCTCTCGTGTGCTTGCAGGGGCTCAAGGACTTGAGCCACCTTCTGCTTTCTTAGCTCATGAGCAGGGAGCTGGATTAGCAGTAGAGCATCTGGGGCTTGAACTGCTGTCTACATGAGCCGGTACCAGAGGTCTAGGATTAGCCTGCTGTGTCCCTGGGCTGACCCTCCTGCACTTGTGATGCAGCTCTCTGCTAAAGTGCCTGGGAAAGCAGCAGGAAGTGGCCCAAGTGTTGTTCTTAGGAGGCAACTCAGGATGACCCTGCACCCACAAGAACGGAAGACGACCTGGTGAAGTTCCTGGCCAGCCCGGTTCCTGTGGCCGTTTGGTGAGTGAGCCAGCAGACTTAGATCTCTCTCTCTCTCTCTCTCCCCTGTGGCTCCCCTTTTTCTCTGTGTAACTCTGACTTTCAAATAAATAAATACATCTTTTTTAAAAAGCACAGTCCCATGAGGTAAGTAGATCTCTTGAATTCTCTCCTCTTGTTGAAAATTTTTTATCCTTTGAACCGCATCTCTGCAAAGCCGAGTCACCCCCACTCCCACCGTGACAACTACTGTTCCGCTCTGTTCCTGTGGGTTTATCCTTGCTAGATTCCACATAGAAAGCAGATCCCGTGATGTTTGTTTTTCTGTTCCAGGCTTATTGAACATGTTTTCCAGTGTTCACGTTGTTGCAATGACGAGATTTTCTCTATTCATGACTGAAATAGTATTTCTTTTTGTATTTTCTCAACATTTTCTTTATCTGCTCATCGGCAGCTGCACATGTAATTTGCTTCCGAAACTTGTGAGTAACGTTGCACTGAGTGTGGAAACACAGACACCTCTTCAACACACCGATTTCCTCTCCTTCGAATTCGGACGGCTGATCACATGCTAGATCTGTTTTTCATTTTTTGAGGAACTGTTCCACATGACTGCATTGATTTATACTCTGACCAATAATGACAAAGGATTTACCTTTATCACATCCTTGGCAACATTTTTTCTTTTTTCTTTTTTTTAAAGATTTATTTACCTTTATTACAAAGTCAGATATACAGAGAGGAGGAGAGACAGAGAGGAAGATCTTCCGTCTGATGATTCTTTCCCCAAGTGAACGCAACGGCTGGTGCTGTGCCGATCTGGAACCAGGAGCCAGGAACATCCTCCAGGTCTCCCACGCGGGTACAGGGTCCCAAGGCATTGGGCTGTCCTCAACTGCCCTCTCAGCCCACAAGCAGGGAGCTGGATGGCAAGTGGAGCCGCCGGGACCAGATCTCGGCACGTTCAAGGCGAGGACCCCAGCCGCTGGGCCACACCACCAGGCCCTTTCTTTTGTCTTTTTGATAAAATCCAAAAAATACTCAGTAAAAACATTGAAGCAGAGCATGTTACTACTTTGGTTTAAAACACAAATGCTGCCAGTGACTCCCAGTTTGCACCCACGGTCCCTTAGTCTGCCTGTAGAATATTAGCTCATTTGTTCTGCCAGCCTCAGTTTTCATCTCAGGCCACTGTTCCATTGCCATGACCTCAAATACCTTTTGGCTCTTGTACCTGAAAATGTGACTTCCACCTTGTCACTATGAGAATAGCTGCTGTCTTTGTCTTGTTCGGCACTGAATCTTAGGGCAGAGAGAGTGCTGCTTAGTCCATAGTAAGGACACAGTGAGCTAATCCAATGACGAAGGTATGTGAGGGAATATGATAAGGGTTGTTTGTTTCGCATGGTTTAATAAAATTAACCATGAAAGATATGCCATAAAATTGACTGTTAATGTAGGCAATTCAGTGGATTTTATAATGCATAAAAATTTGCAACCATTAGTGTTATGTAATTTCCAGCATATCTTCCTCACTCCAGAAGGAGATCCTGTGTCATTAGTGGCAATCCTTTCCAGTGCCCTTCTCTGTCCTCTGGTGACTAATCTGCTTCTGTTTTCTTAGATTGCCCCATTCTGGATGTTTCATGTAAATGGGGTCATATAATATATGACACTACAAATTTTGTGCCTAGGTTCTTTTTAGTTAATGTAATATTTTCAAGATTTGTTGATGTCAGTACTTCATTTTTGGTGCATTCTTTTATACATATCACGTTTTACCATCCATTCATCATCTGTTGGCCTTTAGCTGTGGCCACTTGTTGGCTGTTCTAAGTGACGCTCCTGTGAACATGAGTGCTAAGTCTGGGCGTGGATATGTGTTTTCAGTTGGGGAAAGTATGTATTCATTTTTCTCTCCACAGAGTGGTGGGAATCACTTTTTATCTTTACAGCGATCTCTGGGATAGTCTCTAGGCTGGATTTTCTCAAGACTTTTCCAGGTGCTGTGTCTCCTCAGATTTTTGATCTTATCAGTATTTCTAAAGTACTGATAGCACTCTTTCAGACTTTCCAGAGATGTAAAGGGTTCCTGATTCTCTTCGCTGTATCTCATCAATGCTTTAATTTTACCGTAATTCCCCAGTTTTTGGTCAGGTGATATAGTGTTCTTTTACTCCACATATGTTGAAGATTTCTTAGACTCTTTAACAAAAACAATAATAGCAACAGTACTACAGATAATACTGGTGATTTTGAGAATCACTGAAAGGACTTTAGAGGTAGGTGTTTGATACAGCAGTTAAGTCATGACTGTGTGAAGCTGGCCCCTGCAGCACCAGCGTCCTCTCGGGGCGTGCTGGTTCAATTTCCAGCTACTCCACTTCCCTAGCCACTCCTGGCTGATGCTCCTGGCAAAGCACTGGAAGGTGGCCTAGTTCCTTGGGCTCTTGCCACCCACATAGAAGACTGGGAGGAAATCCTGGCTCCTGGCTTTTGCCTGGCCAAACACCGATGGTTATGGTTGTTCAAGGAGTGAACCAATGATAAAAGATATCTCTGTGTTTCTCTTCTGTCTCTGTAGCTCTGTTTTTTCAAGTGAATGAATAAGTTTCAAACGACAACAGCAGTAATAGCAGCAGCAAAGGGCATCATTTGGGATGTCCACCTTCTATGTAACAATGTCGAGGTTTGATTCTAGCTTCCTGCTAATGTGCACCTAGCGGCTGCAGGTGGTGGTGCGAGTACTCAGTCTCTGCTTTCATGCAGATGGACTTGGTTCCTGGCCGTGGTCTGATCTTGCTTCGGTTCTTACAGCCATTTGACAAGTGAATCTGTGAACGGAAGAGATCTGTCTCTGTCCCTCTAACTTTCAAACTAAAAAAGCAAATAAAGAAAAATTGATAAATCTTTAACTTGAGTAGCCAAATGAGCTTTTTTAAAAAAGGATTTCAGGTAGAGATATAAGTAGATAATATTTGTTTAGTTGGCCATCGTTTTCTCAGTACTTGAGTGTTTATTCTTATTTTCAGACTGCATTAGAGTTTTTTGGTAATTCAGGATACTTTACACAGGTGCATGCTTTTCTGAAAACATGGGTGGCTTAGCGATGCTCAGGAGAAAATGAATACTCTTTTTTTCTTTTAAAGATTATTTGCAAGGTAGAGTTATAGGAAAGAGAGAAAGAAAGAGAGATATTCTTAGCACTGGATCATTCCCCAAAGGGCTATCACAGTGTGGCTGGGCCTGGGTGAAGTCAGGAGTCCAAAACTATTCACATCTCCAATGTGGGTGGCTGGGGCTCCATGACATGTACCATCTTCTGCTGCTTTCCTGGGCTTTAAGTGCCCCACAGTTCCAGTGGTGTGATAGGAACTGCAATGAAACAAATTAACAGACTAGTCCTTGTCTTCTAAAATGAAAACAATATGTAACTTCACTAATCATTTTTAGTGGGATTATAAAAAGGTAGAATTTGTTGGGGGAAAATAAAAAATATGATTTTTTAGCCCAGTAATCCTTAAAGAACTTTTTTTTGGCTGCACCACTGTTTATGGTAGCAGGTAACTGTAAACAACTTAGATATTTATCTCCAGTGAATTTTGAAGAAGTTATAACTACATAAAGAAATGCTGGGCTATCTTTGAAAGAATAAGGAAGTTTTACTTGTGCCCTAACAGTTATTTCTTGGGTATGTTAAGTGAAAAGGCATTTATATACTACAGTGTGCTATCTCTTTAAGAGCAAGCAGATGGGCATAAACTTCCATATGCTTGTAAGAACTAGAGTCTGGAAGGATACACGAGCTATAACTATGACTTTTCGGGAGGGTGGAGGGGGACAACCTACTTTCCATTTTTGAAAAATGCTTTGAGCATTTGTATGTCTAAAATCCACAGAAGACATTCCAGGGGGATTCCAAAAGTTCATGGAAATTCATGTTATATATATAAGATTTATTTTATTTTTACTTGAAAGAGTTACAGAGAAGGCAAGGTAGAGAGAGAATCTTCTGTCTGCTGGTTTACTTCCCAAATGACCACAATGCTAGAGTTGGGAGGACCTAAAGCCAGGAGCCAGGAGCTTCTTCTTTGTCTCTCTCATGGATGTGGGGTTCTAAGGCTTTGGGCAATCCTCTACTGCTTCCCTAGACCACAAGCAGAGAGCTGGATGGGAAGTGGAGCAGCTGGGATATGAACCAGGCTCTTACAGCATGCCGGCACTGCAGGCTGAGGCCTAGCTTACCATAACATGGCACTAGTTCCTGTGCTAATTTTTGATTGCATTTCTTCACAACCCTTTGGAAACTTGTTGTGTTACATTTGGCCATACATGATTGTTGTGAGGGCTTGTACTCACATATTAGGACTCTTGTATATATGCTTAGGGGATCTGTCAGTTGGTTGTTTGACCTGGAAATGGGGTGGGATGGATATCTCAGCGCAATCAGAAGAGCACGCAGTGGTTAGGGATCCCGCCTGGATTTAGTTAGAGTCAGAAGAAAGGCTGCAGAGCACCTGGGGAGGTGGCTGCGCATGCAGACACACAGAGCAGACAGGTGTATGCAGGGAACTAAAACAGCTGATCAACACTTCATCTCCAAATTATACCCTTTTGTAGAATGTCACTTTTTAGAATTCCAAATGACAAGTAAAAAAAAAAATTAAAGTTTGCATGATGATTTGTGGATCCTAGGTGACGTAAGGGAAAAATGCCAGAGGAGCAAATAGAACTTTGTTTTACTATTAAATTTTTTCCCCTTTATTTGATAAGCAGAGAGCTAGATGAGAGTGTGTGTGAGAGAGACGGAAGATGCAATACCCATCTGATGATCAGTCCCCAAATGCCCAAATGAGTAATTTGGGCTGCTGCACATATGTTGGAGACCCATATGGAGTTCCAGACTCCTGGCTTCAGTTATAGCCATCTGGGGAGTAAACCAGTGGGTGGGCAACTTGTCCCACCCCACTGCCCATAATTCTGCCTTCCAAATAGATAAATAAATCTAAGAAAGGGAGGAAAAAACAGAGGGGGAGCAGTTTAGGGAGGGGAAATAGAGATGGGATTAGCACTGAATCTAGCTTTAGTTTAAGCTTTTTAGAGTCAGGATAATCAGAAACTAAGTTGTGCAGCATTTCATCTACATTTTCTCACTCTCCAGCTATTTTCTTTTTTTTTTCTTTAATTTTTTTTTTTTTTAATAATCTTAGTTTATTAGGGTACAAAGGGTCACGGGCTACAGGGTGAAAGTGGGTAATATCATTGTTTCCACACTAATATAATCATTTTGCCCTGTATCTGGGGTTAGGGGAGTAACAAAGGGGAAAGCCCCACCCTACCTCCCACCCATCCCCCATCCCCAACATGAGGCGCGCTCCAAGGGTCCTGCTCATACAGTTTTGATAGTTCATCAGTTCTGGATTGCTGCCAATCTCTCCGTCCCAACCGTAATGAAACCTATT